AATATTTCTCTAAAATTGACTTAAGCCACGCATATCTACAGATACCCGTGGACGAGGAATGGTCGAAGCTCCTTTGCATATACAATTTTTTAAGACTTCCGTTCGGGGCTAAGGTGGCCCCTTCCATTTTTCAACAAATCATGGACACGATGTTAAATGGTCTGGATTTTGCGTTGGCCTATCTCGATGACGTTCTAATGAAAAGCGAGAGCATCGAGGAACACAAATCGCACGCTTGGCAAGTGTTCAGGAGAATCCAGGATTACGAATTCAAATTAAAAGATGGGAAGTGTGAGTTTTTTTGGAGAGGATTAAGTACTTGGGGCAAATAATTGACAAAGACGGAAGACGTCCCGCCCCAGATAGGGCTAAGGCAATAAAGAATATGCCAGCACCAGAAAATGTGTCGGCTCTTCAGAGTTTTTTTAGGTCTTGGCAATTATTACAATGTTTTTGTTCCAAGAATGCATAGTTTGAGAGTTCTACTTAATGAATTATTGAGAAAAGATAAAGAGTGGGAATAGACAACCAAATGCCAGGAAGCATTTGAGAAAATAAAGGAGGTCCTTACATCAGATCTGTTCCTGACTCATTACGATCCAAACCTTGACATCATTGTAGCCAGCGATGCTAGCTTCTACGGCATCGGGGCGTGCATTTTACACAAGTTAAAGGATGAATCGGTAAAGCCAATCGCTCATGCATCTAGGACGCTATTACCAGCTGAAAGGAGTTACTCGCAAATAGAAAAAAAGCCTTAGGAATCATTGTTGCGGTGACTAAATTTCATAGATTTATTCATGGAAGGTACTTTTTGTTGCAGACAGACCATTGTCCACTCCTTACTATCTTTGGATCAAAAAAGGGTCTGCCAACACATACTGCTAATAGACTGCAAAGAAGGGAACCATTCTCCTCAATTATAACTACAAAATGGAGTTACTCCCATTCACTAAGATCTATCATGCAGACGGGTTGTCTAGATTGATACCTAAGTATGCTGGACCCCTGGAAGACACAGTCATTGCTGCCATAAGAACAGAGGTCGAAGTAAAAAGTACCTTATGCAACACTGTCAGGGAGCTTCCTATAACAATTGACGAGATGATAGACAAAGCGTCCGATGATGAGTTCATAAAGGAATAAAGGACAAACTAAATAGTAAAGACAAGAATATCTCAGAAGTTTACTCACGCTGTAACGACATACTAATGTACGGAGACAGAGTAGTAATCTCAGCTACACTACAGAAAAGCACATTAAAGGAATTCCATGTTGGCCATCCGGGAACTTCAAGAATGAAGAGTATGATGAGGAGTTACGTCTACTGGACCAATATGGACAAGGATATTGAAAACACTGTAAGATTGTGCAAAGGGTGTGCTTTGGCTGCTAAAGCACCCCCGATAAAATTCAATCCCTGGGCTAAAACCGACCGTCCGTGGTCGCGGATACACATTGATTTTGCTGGTCCACTTGATGGTTTTTACTACCTCGTAGTAGTTGACAGTCATTCCAAGTGGCCAGAAATATTGAAATGTAAGAAGCCGACCGCGGAGGTGACAGTAAAGTTTTTGCACGAGCTATTTTCTCGTTTCGAAGTTGTTGGCTGTTGTAACAGACAATGCCGCACAGTTCACATCCTGTGAATTTAAGGATTTTTGTCAGTCATTCCTGATCAAACATATTACCACGGAGCCATATCACCCAAGAAGTAATGGACAGGCAGAGCGTTTTGTGGACACTTTCAAGGGAGCACTGAGGAAGGCGAGACGTACTCCCACCGATACGGCTATACAGTAGTTTTTGCAGGTCTATCGTGTAACCCCTAATAGCAGTGCACCATCTGCCAAGACGCCAGCGGAGGTCATGTTTGCCAGGAAAATAAAATCGGCATTTGACAAATTCTTTCCAAGTGAAACGAACGCAGAAAATAGGAATAAAGTACTTAAAAAGCGCTTTAAGATCGGTGAAAAGGTTTTTTCGTGTATTTGGGAATACTGGAAGATAGGAACAATAGACAGACAAATTGGTAACATGATTTACATGGTTCAGGGACCGAAGTTTATACACAAACGTCATGTAAACCAAATTAGAAAACGGTATGAAAGCGTAGTCGACAGGGATCCCATAAAAGATGACACTATGGACGTCGTCTTTGACACTTTGAGGTTCCAATACCGCAATCAGTGACAGAGCTCAGAAGGCCCAAAAGAAAAAGGAAATTTACGGAACCTTTAGAAATTAACCCGAACAGAGAAAGATATTGAACATCTTTCATTTCATAACATGTCTACAGAAAAAGGAAAAGAATGATTAAAAATAAAATCTCCTCACTTATGAACTTTGAATTACCAGAAACGCACAATACGCATTGGATTATTGGAAATTATTATCATTATAATTTACTTATCCAATTTTTCATTATTTAGGAATAAGGAATAGAGACCTTAATAAAAAGGAACTGTTGTAAAATATTTGTCGTAAAAATTTTTTAAAAAATTGTGAACGTAATTCCTGCATATAGCTTTTTCTAAGTGGTTGTTTCTGATTTTATTTATTTTTTGTGAATAAGAGTTTATTTGGTTGAATAAAAAGTATTGTGTGGTAATTATAAAAAAAAAGACTCCATACGGAGTCAGACTGAAAAGGGGGCGTTGTGGTGTCCTCCCGCTAAAGAGTCTATATTGGACTCTTCCGCATACTATAAGATTAGTAGGAGAGAAGGCCTTGAGACAACAGTCGAATAGAATAAACGCTGGACCAACCGACCCACACTCACTAGCCGTATAATACTCTTCTGTTGTACTTACTGTCTAATATATGGCATATCTGCAACACTTGTTTTGTTATTTCTTTAACCATTTACTTGGTCACAACAGATTAAGAACTGGCCAAATCAATAACGCGGATGAATGGATCCTTAATTAGATCCAATACACATCCCGAAGCAATGCGCCAGAAATAGGTTAGTATTACATAGAATATTATTGGATTTTAATTGGTGCTGTGAAGAAAAAGCCCAGCGCTCTATTTAATATATACTGTGTATATGGAGATATACAAGCAAATCCATGTCTCCCTATCTGTCTCAATCGAAACAGATGATCCTTTATATAAGGAAGCAATGAAACATTTTTAATAAAGTACCTCGTAATAAAAAAATAAAACCAGGAAAAAAATCTACAATACTACAATCTGCCTATCTTTAGATTTCTCGCCTTTAATTTCGCTGATTTTCATCTGAAATCATCACTGATTTTTATCGTAAAATTTTTCATTCACATTTAGCATTAAAGCCGTCAATAATCTTTTGAACCGAACTTGCGAGATGCTATACGTTGTTTCATTCTATCAACAAATTAACTTTGCATCACTGAGGACACGCTTGCACTCGTTACGAGCAGAGACAGACCTGTCGCTCTGGTACAATCGGAAAAGTTATAGCGACCGAGCAAGCAGGTAAGATTCAAGGAGATGAATGCAGTTTAACTTGGTATTTCCTCGATGGAATGAAAGCATCAATACCGGCTTTCACACAGGATGAGACCTCAGACGCGCATTTTTGAACGGGGCGATTAAAAACTGCATTCCAAGGGATGTCACGAAGGAAACCACGGAACGAGTCCCAATCTACTTGTTGATAACAGAAAGATATTCTGTTGGTAGAAGGTTCATGGCTGGTGGGGAAGCGGAGGAGATGTTTGCAGACACTACCACGTGATCAGAATTGCCAAGAGGGCAGAGCTACGTAGTACGAAAAGAGTTAGGGATAAGGGTAAAAAAGAAATCGAGAAGAGAAGCGTTTCCGTCAGAGTCACTGAGGAAACGCATCAACCACTTGCGTGAGAGATTGAGTGATTAAAATATTAAGGGTTTGGATGCTAGCAAGGTCAGTGATAGAGGATTTAAGCCACCTGGTATGGTGGGCATTGAAGTCACCAAACATGGATATGTTTGCAGACCGGTGTAGGGAGATGGTTTTGTCTATATTATTGGAAATACTATCTAGCACGCAACAGTCTTGAGAGGAAGGGGAACGGTAGAGAAAGAAGAGATAGCCGAGTTAAGTCGAGAGAAACGGAGACACATGTACGAATGGTCTGGAGATTCAATAGAGATTGGGAGATGTTCGCGGACATAAACTCCCGTGTGGACTTTAGAGTCCTTTCTAAGTAGAGGAAAGTAGCTATGATTCAAGAAATCAGAGGATGGGGTGGAAGAGTTAAGTTTAGTTTTGCAAAGAGCTAGGATGCCCGGAGACAAAGAGGAACGATTCCACACCGCAGAATTTGGTACGAATACCACTAATATTGGAGAAGGGAAGGTTAAGGTATTTAGGTGATTTTTGTTGAGCTGGTTTAGGTTTATATCTTTGGTTGTTTATAGTCATGATGTGTAATATTGGTAAGGAAAAAGCCGAGGGTAGTAGTAATAGTCGGTCATCAAATGTAACATGTGCAGAAGGGGACTGGCGCAGACTGCCACATAGTGGCAGTGTTCCTGCGCCCACCGGTGGTGCTTGCAGGAACACTCGTCCATGCGCGACATGGCACTGCAAGAACCCCGATATTATGCAACGGTTGAGCAGAGCAGCCTCTCAAGACGCTACGCAAGAGTTCGGGCTCCTAATTACCAGTCGAAAACAGCAACCAGAAAACTGCCAACCCGGTACCCTCAGTATGAAGAGAAGCTGCCACCAACCACGCACATTACAAGAAATTCATACCAGCACTACTATTAAGGCTTGAGAAAAGGAAAGGAACTGGGAACCCCTTCCTAAACAGGAAACAAGAGATGAGCTTCTAATCCTGTTTAAGAGAAAGGGAAGGAGAATGGACCGGGCGACAGGAGAGCCTATCTACTCCTATTAAAAAAAAAAAATTAAAAAAAAGCAATTCCGGGTTTGACTTAGTTTATTTTGTTTTATATAGCATAATAACATTTAAATAATACATTTTGCGTGTTATATAAAATTTATTTTTTCTTTATACTTCTAGGAGAAATTTTACCACCATCTTGGAATCCGCCACTAGGTCAAAACATTATCAAGCAAGCGCGTGCGAAGCGACGTGGTGATTTACGTATGCGTGAAGCAATTCATGACATATTTTTGTATGTTGTCTTCTTGTGGGTGATCTATTCTCTCAGTTTGGATAACAGAGATCCTCATGCTTTTGAACAAAGTCAGCAGCTCGATAAACTCTTTTATGTAACGAAAGAGTTTAAACAGGTTGGTGTTTCATGTTTTTTTTTAAATCTGATACCGAATTGTAGATAACTCTCTCTCTCTCTCTCTCTCTCTCTCTCTCTCTCTCTGTGTGTGTGTGTGTGTGTGTGTGTGTGTGTGTGTGTGTGTGTGTGTGTGTGTGTGTTTGCGTTGCTTTCCTTGCTACTTCCATTACACAAAGTAAATAACTCACAACTAACTTCGTGGTCATCAGACTTGGTTAGGGGGTCATATGTTGAAAAAAAAAAAAACTAAGTGTTAATCAAATAAACAAAAAATAAGTAATACAAAATTAGATATATTTATTCTATCGAGACATCTTTAGTGTAAAGAAAATCTTGATGGATGTTCTTAAGAGTCTCCGTAAATAATGAAGAAAAAGTTGAACTTATTCCACTAGTAAATCAACGCGCTAATTTTTGCGCCCTGTCACGATGTCGACCCGAAGTGAAAGAGAACTAACCCCTCAAGTCCACAGCACGCATGTACATAGTTATTTTTTTCTTTTTACGCATAGCCAAAAGCTAAAATTGGATTACATCCGCTGATAGCGTTTTTCACGCATGCATATCTGGTAAAAAGGGTTTAACGTCTGATACAATAGCGATACAAAAAAATAAGAATAGACGAAAGCTTTTTACTGTTTAAGTAAATTGTAGTAGTTTGCATGCAAAATAGCTGATAAAAGTTAACCGTTAGGGAAACTGATTTACTCGAGTAAAGCCAAATAATCCTGCCCTGTCGACTGAGGCTGTATAATACGCTGACTGCACCTCTGCAGAGGGGTAAGACCCCCTTCCAATGGGGCGTCCCGGGTGTGACGATAAACTACATCAGTGTTCAGGGTAAGATAATAAACTACGTCCAACAGCAAGGACTCTGATCAGGAGGTTTTGAGGAGCGTGGAACCACCTCTTAATTGCTGGTGTTCCCAGGTCCACTCTGACCCGGGGTTGTAGCACCTGTTAGGGTCCCAGCTATGGGCAAATAATTAACCCCGAAACTGAGGTAAAAAGCATTATAAAAGTTTAAAAATAGGTTTTAATACCGGAAATTCTTTGAAAAAAATTATTACTAGAAATTAATTTTTGAATAAAAAACTATTACCAGCAATACGTTTTTGAAAAAAAATATTATCAGCAATACATGTCATTGTACTCAAAAATATAAGTAATTGAAAAATGGTTCAGATATATATGTATACATACACACTTTTTTTTACCAAATTATCGCTATGTATCTATTTCAAAATTTTTGATGGCATTAAATGGCCCACTGAAGTTGATATGCTATAAAACAAAACAACCAACCAAACAACCAAATAATCCTTTAGTTTTTGATAAAGAAATTATTTTTCTCAGTCGTCGAATTATTCAGTCTTTCAAATATTATTCTAACATTAGTATATTGCCAGGGCAGATTACGGAATTAAAGATAAAATTGTGAAAAGTATCAGAGGATCAAACTAAGGAATCATAAATACACTTGACTTTTGGCATTAATATTTGTCTTGAAAATTGAAAAATGCAGTATTATGGTAAAATGGAAGTTAAAATTCGGAATGTCTAAATTTATGTACGGGGCTGACTTAAGAAGTCACTGAACTGAGTTGCTTCCTTTTGGGATTAGAGTTATGTTAGTTCTTTTGGTATTTGTTTTAAATAGAAGTGACTTTTAACCAGTAAAATTATTATTGTGGCAACGCATCAAGCAAAGTCACTGGTTCAACGACAATGGATGGATTTATGAAACCAGAACGCTTCAGTGCCGATCCTAATTTACCAAATTCAAACATAGGATGCGAATGTTTAACAACTTCATAAATTCGTCACGAACTGATGCTACGTCAAACAAGAGCTTTTGATAAATTACGTCGCGCCAAATGTTTATGGCTATATCGCAGAATGTAATAACTACGAGGATATTCTAAAAACTTTCGAAGAGTTATGTCAAACCCAAAAATGAAATATTCGCTCCTCACATTCTTGCTACACACAAACAACAATTTAATGAAACACTGGGTCAATTCTTAATAAAACTGAAAATATTAGCAGGAGACTGCAATTACAAAACAGTTACGGCTGAACAGTAGAAGAATGAGTCTATTCGGGATGCCATTATTAATGGAATCATTTCAAACACTATCAGAAAGAGACTGCATAAAAAGAAATCATTAATCCTGCTCGATCTATTTAACCAATGTATGACTCTAGATACTGCCCAGAAGATTTGTAATCTTTATAATCAAAGTGTTCCGGAATTACTCACTACCAGTGTTGCAGCAAAGGTACCCTGGAGACATTCCTCACAGACATTATCAATCTCTGTTGAAGCAACTACGCCTGCTACTGCAAAACCAAAACTGGCCTGCTGGTTTTGTGAAAATCGCCACACAAGTAGTCGATGTCCAGCAAAAGATGTTGAGCGTCATAAATGCAAGAAAAAGGGCATTTTGGAAAGCTTTGTAAGTCAACATCGATTGCAGTCCCAGATGCAAGTAATAATAACGATTATTTTCTTGTAATAATGCATAACAGTACTCTGTCTACTAGCAGTGATTCACCTTTCCATAATTTGCCAGAAAGTAATAACTTTATTAATACTGGTAGCACAGTATCAATAAAGTTAAAATTCCATCAAATGATGTTATAGGCATGAAATTGGCATCGCTAATTACGAAATCAGTAGGATATTGTTTCGTTTCATTGACATTACAAAAAGAGAAGTACCGAAGGGTAAAATTAATTGTATTATAAAATCTGTGTATCGATATTATATTCGGAACAAACTTTCAGGTATTAAATGAATGTATTACTATCGACTAAGGCCATCTATTACATTCAGTGATTTGCCTAACAACTTCCACCAGCTGCCAATAGTTCCTCAGGAAACCCTATTGAACAGAAGCCAACTTCAGAATTCTGTGGATAAAATGAATCAGTCTCATATCCCAGAAATTGCAGACAGAGGAATTGTTGGTGATGAGATGATCTAGTAACACTTCCAGCAATTGAACAAATTCTTTTATGCAGTTCGTAAAGTACCAACGCAACTGAACTTGTAATTAACCATATGACCAAGGAATTTATTCACATCGGATCAACTGAGAGAGAAGTGAATGTCCTGAAATGAAGATTAAAATTCAGAACATTGCCTAAATTAGTTCTTTTTAGGCACAGAATAAGAAGGGACTTTCACTTAGTGTGAAACTGAAACAAAAAGAATTTGTTTATTTACAATAATTTATGGGAAAAGAGGAAGAATGTACAAAATATTCTTTTGGGCGCTAAGAAAATAAAGCTAAGTAGAGAAAATGTTCATAAGATAGTGGATACTTACATTAGTTGCTAAAGTTCTTTTAAAAAGTATTTGGTAGAGGGTGTTGTCACTGATCTGGCCTGTTTCAGTTTGATAGGTCAACATAGTTACAGGAGAGTCTGTTGTTGAATGAGTTGCCGAGTGAATGTCGTTTGTCTGTTGCTTTTTTAGAACACTAACACTACTGAATATTGTTGCTATTTTTATGCACTAGTAACCTTCTTTGAACCTTCGCGTATTCGGCCTACAACACCATATCCCCACAAGTAACTTAATGTAATGGGCAGTGTGTATGTCGCGTATTTGTGGGAAAAACGTTTATCCAGGAATACCCACAACAAAATTGAGGATTTGGATGTGTGTCCACCAAGATAAAATACAAAGAAACAAAAAGAACCAATATATGTACAAACAAATGATAATGTATTAACAAGAAAGGTATTCACGGGACAAAGACAATGATGTGTGTAACAAAAGAATATGAAAACCTTTTTGGTTCAAAGGATGTGAAGTGAGTGAATGTGCGTACGTACGTGTGTTGTGTGTGTGTGGGGGGGGGTGTTCATGCGTTTCTCGATAGGAAATGCGTTTTCCTGCGAGAGTCATATGCTGACGTGTAAGCGAAAAATAAGAAGAGGCTGCGAAAAACTATCGCAGATTATTAATCGTGCCAGAGAACGTCCCCTAGTAGCGGTTTCAGGAAAGTAAATGGAGTTAACCCCACAATACACCCCTTCAGATGGTTAGAATTCTTTTCTGTCCCTATGTAGATTTCGTGCAGGTTTGTTTCTGTCTTCATGAGCAGAAAAAGGTGTCGGAAGTGTGGTTCAGATGCGTATTTAAACATATCGACGAAAATGTATTATTTACTGTATTATTTTGTCTGGCGGGTCAGAATCGTAGCACGTCCTGGAAGATACGTCGGTAGTGTAGATTGTTCAGCGTTTGCTATTAAAATTTTGTCTTTTTCAAATGCTCCACGTTGAATTTGTTTTGTCGTCTGTCGTATTGGTTCCTGTTCCTTGGAAGGGTTTTGTTTGGAAACGCCTCGTTTGTTTGCTATGCGTGGATGGTGTTGGCGCACAAAATTTGAATAGAAGCAGCGTTGTGGCAAAGTTGAACTGATGTAGAATTTCTACCGAGCTTCGAATGTATGTTTGAGAACTTTAAGAAATTTGCTATTATTGTCGATTTTTATATCTTACTTGCAAATTCTTAGTGTTGTTCGACTGACATCGTCGCAAGGTGAAAAAAAGAACAGTGAGTCGCCTTTTGAAGTATGTCACACTTTATCTGGTTAGCCCTGAAGAAACAGTGTTGATTAAACTAATGGAGTTGTATTTTTGTTTTGTCGGAAAAAAATTGTGATGTCTGCCGGTTGAGGTCAAGTCGAGCGTAATGGCCCTGAGAGAAGAAAAGGGTCAAGCAAAAAAGGCAGTCGAGATGAGGAGCGTATTGTTTGCCTACTGACGGACCATAGTAGAAATTGCCATTAGGGATTTTTGCTGAGTCTGAGAACATCATCATGTGTTGTGTAGATATGTTGTAGTGTTTGAAATTTGTGATTTAGCTTTTTCATAGGTTCTAATCACAAATTTTGTAGCTGTAAATATTGCTAACATATCTGGACTGCAGCTGCCATCCTTCAGCCTTGATAGATTTCAGAATCTCTTCGCGTTCTTGTGGGTGATGAATTATTTTCCACTTTACAACCCCTACCCCGCAGACGAAACATTGCAAGCTGCTCTCTAATCTTTCGCTATTTCTATAGCAAATGTTCTGACGAGCTACATTCCTTATTCCCACCAGTCATGACCTCCACAGCTAAAACCCATCATATTATGTACACTGGAATTAATCATCCTCCATTCTCTTCATAGTCTATTAATAAAAAGGAAGTTCCATTCGGACAGTTTCTTCCCAAGAAACGCTGCTTGGTAGAACAAACTCCCGAAAGGATCATTACAATCTTAACCTCTTTAAGTCTAGGCTTAACCGTTATTTTTCCTACATAAACTATACTTTTACCCCCTACTTCTCCTCTTCTTACGTGAAACAACCTCAATCAGTAACCCTCTACGTTTAATGACTCATAGTAAACAAAAAATACTTTTGTTTTCTTGAATTATTTGGGGAACTAAAATACAAATCTCCTTATATGAACATGAAGTAATCGTCTATCACACAAATCGCCTTATACGAACATGGAGGATTCTTATAATTCAAAAATTACTCCCATATGACATACTTTTACTCTCTCTGTTACAATTTTTTCCACTTCCCAATTACATCAACCTTATTTCTAGATACTGGTCAAACCTCCCCGTTTTTGGTATCCGTCTCTAATGTTATTCTTTTTTTCTCACTTTTCGTTCAAACTTTTCTTCCTTTCTTGAGTAAATCTCTATTCTTTTAAAGTTTTCTTGACTGGTCACCCTGGTACTTGGGTTATGGAGAAAAACATTTATGATTTATGATGAATAGATGCTAAAATACCTGTTAATTACTTAATAAAACTAACCACATTGTTACTAACACTAGCTTGTAGAGTTTTATACCCTAATGAAATGGCTGGCTGGATGGGTGAATTGCTGGCTGGCTGGTTGGCTGGCTGGCTGGCTGGCTGGCTGGATGGATGAATGGATGGATGATCATATTTCAATTTATAACGCTGCCTAATTTATCACTTTTCCTTTCTCTTGTTTTACTTGTCAAGGTTCACACAAATCGCCAGCTTTTAAAATGGATAAACACAACATTTTTTTCGAACTTTTTCCCACAAACAAATTACAAAGGAACAACACTCCAACCTTTAAGAAAGCTCTTTATTTCAGACCAGACGAATTTTAGAATGGGCCCAGCCAGATTCCGACTACTACGAATGAGAAGCGGTAAGTATCGACACTAAATTGACTTTATCTCCTGTTCATAAAATCTTTACTAACTTTTACGCAAATACATCAATAAATCTGTCGTCTAACGATAAAAAACATTTATTTTAAATGACAAATAATCATTTTACAACATAATATCATTGCTTATCAGAGAACTTAACCTAACGCTTCTCCATTAATGACAAAAATCAAATATTATACATGGTGCGACAAGTATTTGGGAACATAACTTTAGCAGAAGACGGCCTAACGTAATGTTGCGCAGCATGTGCCAAATTTTAACATTCTCGGTTCTCTGACATATCGAGAGCGTTAACATGGTGGTATTTAATATGACGCAGGAAATGAAATGATACGCTGTACTTGTTGTCCAAGCCGACATCCGCAAGAATTTGAGATTAGAAGGAACAAGAGATGGCTGTGCGTGGACCAGGAATTTTCACGATTATGTCACATTCATCATTTTGCCTCCTAGCTCCTGATTTAAGTCGCTGGTCTACTACCTCTAGGGCATCCTCAAGAGGGAGACCAACGAATGTCCACACAATACCAATGTCTCGTTGAAGGCTGCCTTCGTGCATATGATGACCAACGTGAACAAGAACCACTTGATCCAAGCAAGCAGCCGCTTCCGAAACCGCATTGAAACTGTTCTCAAAACTATGAGCAGTTTTAATGAATATTTTTCTATTTTTCTAAGTTGAATATGTGTATAGAGTTTTTGAAAATGTACTGACAATTTATATTGAAAATTTTCGTTGTTCTTCATATTATATTATTTATGGCGCATAAGTACAGTGAACATTTCAAATCAAAATTATACTAATAACTGTAATTTATTGATCCACTTTCGTATATATGTGTGTTTTTGTGTGTTTATTTTTTGCATACGTACCTCCAAAGCATGCAAACATAAATATTTAACCTTTTAGTGCCCATTATTCAACTAGTGGAACATATTTTAAGAAATTTCTCCCCTCACACTAAATATATATCTGTATATTTGCCATACAATCCTAGTATACACTACAAATGACGGGATTATTTATGTAATGAATCGAACGTTGTGGGAATCAACACTTTGGATATTAATATTTATAGGCTCCTGGAACATTTATGTTATTAACTCAAGGAATTACATGTGTACACCATTGTAATGAACGAAAAAACATTAAAACTAGCTGTAAGAAGAATGTGCTCGTTTGTGTATGTGTGCGTGTGTGGGGAACTCAAGCGTGTGTGATAGACACATGTGTGTATGTGCGTGCGTAAGAGAGTTCAAAAGTCAATAGAGGACCACGGAAGTGAACGCGCCTTGTCGGCGGCGTTCTTTATCGAAGCAAGAGTTAAAACGAGAGAAAAAGAAAGAATATGATTGCCTATCTGTAGACTTAAACAGCGCTCCCTATAAGCGTTTTGGCAAAACCAAGTGGAATAACCCACAGGATTACAATCTGAAATCTATTGTAAAGCGCAAATGCATACTTTTAAGTGGCAGAATGACATACCATCAATCTTTTTCAAAACCGTCTAATTAAAAAATTTTAAGAAAATCTCAGTTTGGATGTATTTTGATTGTTCCCTAAACTTAACTATTGTCACATTAGCCCTTCTTTAAATTTCACTGAAAGCATAAGAACTATACTCATGCTTGGTCCATTGGTTCAATTATTATTTCTAATATTTTTACTTTTTCAGTTCATTTCGTGCATCAAAATGGGTACATCCTCGTAATTTTAATTATCTTTAAACAGATAATTGAAACATTTTGAAACACGATTTGCGTTGAAACAATTTGTTTTAAATGTAAATTGCTTTAAACGTAAGTTCAAAGAAGCTTTTAAACACATGCGGCTACAACATTTCAAGTTAAGAATGCAGATGTACTTTTTGAAATTACTTAATGATAAACATACTGTGGTAAGCTCATCAATCTTTTTGCTGCTTTATTTTTCTGTCAGTACATTCTCATAATTTTAACTGCAATCTTCATTTAAGTTTTAAATGTTCACTTCTGCAAAAGATTAATGTTTTTTCTTTTAAAACATTTTCTTTTATTTGCATTTTAGTTACTCTCATGATTAATATATTTTGAATGGGTCAAATGCTTTGCATCAAATAAAGAAAAAAGTGTTGCGTTAGTAAAAAAAAAACATTCCTGTTTATACTTTCAGTAAAAAATATATCTAATTAATTGATTTGTTTGTTTGTTTTAGAAACTTGCAAAATCCCATACATCGGAACGGTCAAGTGCTTCGACAATTACAACATTCTCACTGAAGATACGGATGGCTACTGTATAAAATGGAAGCCACCGCCATGCCCTTCAGATCAAGAACTTACACATCTCACTTTTCCGGCATGGAATTTTACTTCTGCCACAAAAATCTGGGGAATACCCATCATGGGAACATTTAGCCTTTACGGGGGTGGTGGTTATATCTTAAACTTGGAAATCAACCTACCGATATCTATAAAAATGATGGAAGAAATTACCAAGAACCTGTGGATTGATCGAAAGTCAAGGGCTCTATTTATTGAGTTTACCTTATACAATGCGAACGTCAACTTGTTTACTTATGTCGTCCTTTTAGCTGAAATTCCAAATATTGGTGAAATCCTCCCTTATACATTCTTTTACTCTTTCAAAGCGTTAGCTGATGAAAATGATGGAATGATATTTATCTACCAGTTGCTCTTCTTGGCGTTCATTTTAATGATACTAATTCGTTCATTCCTACGCATGTTCCATATGAAATGGGCCTTTTTTAGCGAAATTTGGTACGTCTTGGACTTTCTGTCATCATTAAGCTGTGGCGCAGCCACTGGGATGTACATAATGCGAAGTCTGATGGTAAAGCAGGCGCAGGAAAACCTGAAAGCAGACCCAAAGAAGTTCATTAACTTTTACCATATTGTAGTTTGGGATCAAATCTTTGTCGCCTTGATGGCAATGTTGGTTTTCCTAAGTACGATCCGCTTTCTTCGTATTCTCGGTTACAACAAACGAATTAGCGCAATTAGTTTGGTAATCACATCAGCTAAAAAAGAAATGGCTAGTTTCTTCATACTCTTTATAATTATATTCTGGACGTTCAGTAATTTTGGATACCTTATTTTTGGAAGAAACCTGGCGAGCTACAAATCTATTTGGAATTCGATGACGGCCATGTTTGTCGGAATCTTGGGGAAAACGCATTTTTCAAATCTGAGACAAACCCGAAATTGCTTCGGACCACTTTTCTATCTTAGCTTTGTGTTTGTTTTCATCTTTTTCCTCCTGAAAATGGTCGAATCCATCTTGAACGATAGCATCCAAAAAGTAAATAATCAGATAGCTGATCAAGAACAGAGTTTTTCTCGCTATTTGTACAATCAGATGCCAAAGTACATCAGAAAGACCCTTTTTCCGGAACGAGAAAGTGGTAAATATGCAAGAAATTATTTTAATGCTCAATATTTTAAGTTTTATATGGATATATGAATTTCTACAAATGTAAGAAGATTTAATAATTTTATGATTTGAATAATTTTGAAATACGCTATATTTTAATTAAAGAAGAAAGCATTTCCTGTATTTTAAAATCGATAGTCTAGATATTTTGTTGTTTCTTTCAGATAATGAGAATAAATGGTTGTCATGTGAGGTGATATTTCTGAAAAGAACCATTACACTTACAATAGGTATCTCTACAGATTCGAAAGAAAAAAAAATAAGCACGCCGAGGTGAAAAAAATGCCCCTAATTGAATAAAAAAAGCAACTTTTATCGTCAAAATCTTTGTCAAGAGGAAAGACCAGATTTTTTTTATTATCAAATTATATTTTTCATAATTTTTAAAACGTTCGAAATTTTGTTTAAAAATCATTTTTTTTTTTTTTTGCGTCAGCCCGGTGTTCAAAGATTTTTGCGGTAAATAACACATATATTTGGAAATTCGTGCAAAAATCAAATAATTGTCGGATTTAAATGAAACTTATTTACAAATGAATGAAATTAGAAATGTTATTTTTTTAGAAAATCTTGGTAAAAAATATTTTTACATCTGTTACACCCTACTTATTTAATTTTATGAAATTATAGAAATTAAATTATGTACCACTTAATGCTTATATTAGTGAAAAGCAGAACTCCTTGGAGAATTCAAATCATTTTTTTTCTTTTCTGTAAAACAAGAACTAAAAATTTGCTCTGAGTCGTAAAATAAAAATAAGACATTATTTAATTGGAAAAGCTTTAACTACTTTTATGAATAAGACATATCATGGACATTATTGTCTTAATAGGAAAAGTTTTTCGACGAATAATGAATTTTTACAAGAATTTTCATTTTTTTAAATTTTAATTAGAATAATTTATAAAGTTTTAAATCTTTTAAATTTCTTCATTACTTTGTACCTGTTACATGATAATGTTATTAAGTAAAAATTATATTTACTAATTACAAATGGACAAGCTTAATATAATTCATCGAACACTAATATTTTGAAAAGAATTTTGAATTTTTTGTGTATAAACGTCCCGATCTTTGCAAATACGGATGTCCATGCATGACATTATCAAAAAAAGAGCGATAACTATAGTAAATGTAAAGCCAAAGTACGTAAAATTCAATAAAACATTAGATTACGGAAATATTTTCCTAAATTTTTAAGGGTAGTTAAAAAGGTGCTCACGTTATATTCCGCAAGTAAATTTTACAGATCTACCGTAGAAAAACATTAGATAAACTTCCATCTGACATTCAAACTGTTAACACCTAAAATAAACAGCTACCAGTGTTAAAAAATGCATGTCTGCGATACTTTAAACTAAATATAGTAATATTTGTTTAAAATCAGATTGATTAAACATTAAATCAGCTAATATTTCCCAAATAAAGTTTTATAAAAGCATATTTTATTCTAGAAAGATTTTTTTAATTACATAATTGTTTAATTATATTTAATTACATTGCGATGACGGAAGGTTAAAATTAGCGCTAAAATCAGCGCTAAAATCAGCGATGTTATTGATTTCAAAATAAAAAAAACTCCTTCCGATCAATTTAGTTTTGAAATACAGCAAAGTATTTTGCTTATTGGAAATATTAAATTTAATCTATTAGTTTGAAATTAAAACTAAAATAAAAGCTTCAAGAAAATGTATCATTTTTTTAAACCATTTTAAACCTTCGGTATCACGAATCTGTGGAGGTACCTTAAATTACAAGAACCAATACATCTTAGTAGATTTTTTTTTACTGGTGCTGATTTGCCATAAATTTACCCCAAGCAGCACTTTCTTAAACTCTTCCTACCCACCCCTCCGCCCTTGACAAACAAAACAAGGCTTAGTAAATATCAAAATCTTTTCGTAAGAAGTTCGGTCGTCCAGGTTTTTTTTATATAAAAATTCGAACGTCCGAATTCCAAGCAATAATAAATAAAAATAAAGAAAACATGGACGCGTCTGTTAAATAAATCATTTGCATTTAAAAACATATGTACATGAATTCAAAAGAGTCAAAAATGAGTAAAAATAATCTTTAGTTGAGTTAGTTGGTCCACAGAAGAAAGCTGTGGTTTAAAAAACTTTTAGTCGTTGATCCACAGTAAAAGTCTGTAATTTAGAAAAGATTTAAGTAGTTGATCCAAGTAAAAATCTGTATTTGAGAAAAGATTTTGATCGTCAGCGCAGATTCACTGACCGTCACTGCTATTGTTGCTGGAGCCGATTCGCTTGAAGTCGCTGACACATGTTTCTTTCAGCACGCGCCGGGAAAAGGGAAAAAGCCATGTAACCACGTCTTGTGTTTGCACAGCTTGCGGGCAATCGCATTTCTGCTCTTGAAAGTCGAAATCAGTGGGTTTTTTATAAGAATATTTTCCCAAAAGTAGTCTCGAGAAAAATAGGGTTTTAGTTTTATCTGATTGGTCAAATATTCGATATGGTTATGTTAATTTCTTGCTAACAGACACTTTGATTTAAAGTGTGCATTGTATTGTGGAATCTTTTTGACATATTATTGGATAGAAAATAAAGTTTGAACATGTTTTAATATGGTACCTATGAGGGAATGTAATTGTGTTGGAAATAGGGTTTATTTCCTATACAACTACCTAGTTTTCTTAAATGTTTCCATATGAACTGCCTTTATGTAAGTTGCAAATACATAACCGAATAAAAACATTAATTATTATAAATGTTAAATTTCCAACCGACTTTGCATCATTGTTGAAATGTGGAAACAATAGATTCACAATATTTTCTCTGTAAATATCAACTTGTCATCAGTATGAAGAGGGATATATTGCCCCATCATTATTGTTTTAATTGCTATTGTATGCATTGCTCACATTTACAGTAGGGAACACTTACAAAATATTGATTTATTATTGATTGATTTGCTTACATTTATAGCAAACTTACTAAGAAAAATATTTTAAAACATACTATTGTATGTTTAAAAATAGAATAAAATATAAACAGAAATAATGGTAAAAATATACGGATATTATTAAAGATGTATCATAAAAATGTTATTTAAAAAGGAAGGCAGGTAAAATCTTTCTGTGCCTGGATAGAAACATTGGGAATCTACCAGCAATATACTCTGACGTCATCATATTTGTCGCTCACTACTTCACACTGACGATGCTGTCCTGGTTAAAATAATGAATCTCTTAAGCAAGCAAAAGAATGTTGCAATTGATTCATTGATACCAAGTACCAATGGATTGAATAATCTCAAGTGGTTTGACAGCATCCTTAAGCAAACTGGTACTTGTCAGAAAATTCTTAATCAACTCGAGAAATACTTTTAAAATAGTCAGTGATCTGTCTATATTTCTGAGATGAGGTATTATATACACTATTTACATTATTCGGACTATTGTCCTCATCTTTGTCGCCATATTTATTACAACGTTTCGGCCGTTGTACACTCCGGCCTTCTTCAGGTGGTTGTAATGTCGAACTGAACCCTTTATTTCGCTCACTGAGGTAGACTGTTCTAGTTCCACGAGCCATGTTTAATGGATGTCAGTTATCTCCTGTTAATTCCCCTCTCCACTGCCTTAACCGGGTATTGAACTCACAACTCTTTGGGTCCTGTCACTTAAGGACACATGACACAGTGGATAAAGGCGTTCGTTAGATCCAGTGACAGGACCCAAAGAGTGTAAGTTCAATACCCGGTTAAAGCAGTGGCGAACTTGGAGAGACGAATTAACAGGAGATAACTGATAACTGACATCCATTAAACATGACACGTGGAACTAGAACATTCTACCCCCGTGAGCGAAATAAATGGTTCAGTTCGACATTCCAATCACCTGAAGAAGGCCGGGGCGTACAACGGCCGAAACGTTGTAATAAATATGGCGACAAAGATGAGGACAATAGTCCGAATAATGTAAATAGTGTAGTCAAAGTGAATCCAATACTACATGGAAAGGAGATCCAGATAATTTAAGAAAATTGGAATATCAGTTGTAATGAATAAGCACAAGTAGGTTTTCCAAATTCCGTGCTCCACGGAAAATTTCTTCTTCGACGTGCCATCTCTCTTCTTATCCTTATAGCGCTTTTCTTTCTTTTTTGTTTTGCCATCTCTCCCAACCCCTGTTCCGCCATCCATTCACATAAGCTGGTCAGATATGCGTTCCACTGACTACCCATGTCCCTTTTACTTTGAAGAAAAGATAGATGCACCTACGATCGAAAAAATGACACCCATAAGCATAGAGGTGGGAGTATCAAGGTTTAGAGGTGTACTAGAACACTTCATGTGATTGAAGGAACAGCGATGTATAAGAATATTTTGGAAGCTAATTTGCCCTTTTCGGAGCAACAGTTGAGTTTGAAGAAGGTTGGACCTGTCAACAAGATGACGACCCGATGCATACAACCTAAAGAAACTCGCGAATGGTTTGTTCAGAACAATGTAGAGGACTTTCAGTAGCATGAACAATCTTCTGATTTGAATCCAATAGAAAATTAATAATAATGCTTGAAGAAGGTAGACCGCAGAAACATTAATGACTTTTTTAAGACGTTTGTAAGGAAGAGTGAGCTAAGATTTTGTAACAAGGTAGGTAAGTTAGGGTTGATGTAGTGGTAATCCTGACTTGATATTATTTGAGTGTTGTTAAAGTAATTACCTTGTTGCTATATGTATTTGTAGTGTAGGAGGAATCCTTTTTTCTATATTGAAAACGAAATGAATTAAACGTGCAACAATATAAACAATATAAACTTGAGACACATATTGACATAAATAGCAAGAATTTGTATTTTCTTTTTTGTGATGTGAATTACAGAATATTGGTATAGTGTGTTTTAAAATGTTCTCAGTGTGTCTTTTGTTTAAAAGTCAGTGCTTACTTGGTTTGGTTCTGAGAATTTCGTTTGTGATGATGGCGTTTGAAATCGTCTGTTTTCGATCTTCATGGAGTGCTGGCAAAGATGTAAGTTTCTGTACTACTACGACTACTTGTCTATTCTACTACTATGGGTACCCTAGTCTACACTACTCTACACTACTGACCCTCTTGTGGTGGAAGGGTCGTTTTTATAATGATGTTTATAATGATGTTAGGATGATAAAATATCCTTCTTTTCTATCATCACTGATGACAAGGTTATTTTAAGAATGATGAAATATCATCAACATTCTGGATCATAACAATTCTAAGAAAGTTGCGATGTACTTGTAAAGGCTTAAGAAAAACGTATCCATTAACTACAAACTAGGAGTACGCATCTAAGTATAAATATGAGATCAATACGTCAATATTTTTCTACTATTACATTCGTTTTTATTGTATTATGCATTAATCATTTGAAAATATCTATTTTTCTTCGGAATTATCAACTTTTTTGAAAATGCACCACTTGTGAAAATTTAAATTATATTAAATAAATATTTTACACTTATCCAAATACTTCTTTCCCTCCCCTCTCATCCAGTAACAAACATTCAAATTTCAGTTTTCCAAATTTCAGTTAATAAACTTTTAAAAACTTTTGTAATTTCAGTATTTGCAAAAACAGGCCCTGAATTCTGTGACGTACAAATCGAACCCGAAACCAAAAACGATCTTCCTAAGAAAGGGGAAACTGATACGACAGTAGACCTGAAAAATTTGAATCTGTCTTCATTTGATATGATGTACCATTTGATCAACAAAAATGTAAGTACAGATCTTTTTGGTCAACTATATATAAATATATGTATAAAATGTTATGTTATATATTAAGGCGATTTTTATTGGTCTAGTTTTAATTATATGACTAATGCAAGTTTTTACTCTATCATAAAGACTCATATGGAACAATATATTTTAACAGAAAAGCTCTAAGAAAAAAGTGCTGGGAATAGTATACAATTTTTGATTATAACTGATTTTTTCTTCTCATTTCGCCTAATCATGGACTCTAAGCTGCATATATAAGATAAAAGTTCTCTTATAAAGTCAAGTTATTCCCTACCATTAGGCAACAATTTGATTGACCAATGTAAAACATGTTCAATTTATAAAGTCAAAATACAAGATTTTTTTATTTTTAACATCAAATATATTGAACAATATATTTACAATTTTGTTCCACTGTCTTCTGCCATCTTTCAAATAATTTCATAATTACATTCTTCAAGTTTTGTAAAATTCTGTAAAAACTAATAAATGGTAATCCAAATGTGTAAATATCTGATGAATATGGCAGATGAGTGAAAACGTACAAGCTACAAGTATATTGCCTGGTTACCAAAAATATAGAGTCAAAGATTATTATCTTTGAATTTTATGCCTGTTCTCTTAAGTGAGAAGCCCTTTTGGTTGAAACAATTATTTCATTCTCCAGAAGAAATGATAGGACTCTCTTCAATTTCTATTTCAATAAAGACTGCACTTTGCTACAGTTAGTGTTAATTTCACTTAATCTCTTGCATTTCACCATGTTGTATTTTTATTTTTTGTCCATTTAAATATGATCCAGTAGTTTCTTGTTTATTTAACATGTGGAAAGCACACATTAAAGTAACTAACATAACCAAACCATTTCCAATACTTCTCAGTGCTTGATTTGGATGTTTTCAGTATATTGCTCATCTTCCCCATCATGCAACATTATACTCAAGTAATATCTTCATTTGATTGCTGTCAACCTTAACTGATTTACCCAATCATAATGCAGTGAGAAATCTCAAGCACAAAACTTTACAAGCCACTTTTGACATGGTCAATGATTTACTGTAACTTCTCTTCAAAATACCCAAATCTTTTTTTGCATATAGGTAAATAATATAAATATAATTGTAAATGTAGTATTAAGTTACTTGTACTTTCAAGATGTTTTATACACAATAAAATTAAATCTAATTGTTGAACAAATAGGTCTATGGCTATAAAAACTGTTGAAGACTTCCAACCATTTTCTCATTTAACACAAGCCTTTGTTTAAATGTTGCTCTTGTATATACAATATAATCCATAAGCATGGCGACATATCAACAGAATAATTGCTGTCTATATTTCTGATATCAGGTATTATTTACATTATTCAGACTATTGTCCTCATCATCGTTGCCATATTTATCACAATGTTTCAGACGTTGTACATTTCGGCCTCCTTCAGGTGGTTGGAATGTCGAACTGAACCCTTTATTTCACTTGCTGGGGTAGACTGTTCTAGTTCCATGTGCCACGTCTAATGGATGTCAGTTATCTCCTGCTAATTCACCTCTCCAAGTTCTCCACTGCCTTAACCAGGTATTGAACTCACAACTCTTTGGGTCCTGTCACTTAAGGACACATGACACAGTGAATAAAGGTGTTCATTAGATCCAGTGACAGGACCCAAAGAGTGTAAGTTCAATACCTGGTTAAAGCAGTGAAGAACTTGGAGAGGTGAATTAACGGGAGATAACTGATAACTGACATCCATTAAACATGGCACGTGGAACTAGAACATTCTACCCCAGCAAGCGAAATAAAGGGTTCAACATTCCAACCACCTGATGAAGGCCAGAGTGCACAACAGCTGAAATGTTGTGACAAATATGGCAACAAAGATGTCAATAGTCCAAATAATGTAAACAGAGTATAGCTGCTGTTGTAAATATCTTTTATTTGAAACATTTATAATGAGTGATATCTGTTATGGAATGTGAATCCTAAATAAGAGCCATGTTATTGCATTAATAAAATTGTAATTAAATGGTGCACAAGATTAATAACTTTCTAATATATTATTTCAGCATGAGGACTGCTTCAAGGATATCTATGCTGATAATGACAGACCGAAGATGAAATTCTGAATGCAACAAAACTAATCAGAGAAAATACTAAAAATATCACATAATATCAATAAAAATAATTTAGTAATTTTCTTATTTTATTTGAAATGTAATATCCATCTATACAAGAATGAAAGCAAAAATAAAACTGTGAATGAGGAGAGTAAAAAAGGTGAATAGAGAATCAGGATTGAAATTAATTTTAAAAATGCTATTAAAATAATTTTAATTATACTATCCATATTAATTCCTCTACAGAAGTTGATTTTATACAAATGGGATTTTGTTGAGATATTTTATTATCAGTTTTAATATCTCCAGAATAATATTTTATTAAAGGAGCATGATAGGTATTTTCTTGTTTGTTTTTTCTTATAGTTGAAAAGAACACATTTCATGAATTGGAGTGAAACGGGATTGAATTATGGTTTAGACTAAAAGTGGTCTACAAAGAAATGTTGTCTTTGGTCACTAATGTTATAAATTAGTCAGGATTTCAGAAACCTACTAAATCAGTCTACAGTTGTTTAAGATCATTCCTACAGTGTGTGCTACTAAAAATCACTCAATCCTTATTCCCTATCTTTTCATACAATGTTTTCAGTAAAGAAATGTTATCAGATAAAACCTTGATCAATAGTGACTTTTGGAAAATATAAATTTGTGAGAAGCTCAAGAATTCTAAATTTTACTTGTACAAGAATAATGAAACCATTTATATACTTATATCAATTTGAATATTGCTAGTTGCATGTTGTGTTATTAAATGTTCATATGCTTTACTGTAATAGATAACACATTCAAGCTTGTGATACAAGATAGTTATGAAGCAAATTAAATGTTTTAAGAAAACATTCTCCACTGCACAGTAATTAAAATAACTTAAATAAATACTATGTTCACTTTCCTAGGTTTTATGAAATGATGGACTAAATAAAATCTGATAAAATGTTGTTTTTGATGAATTATACAAAAATAATATTGTATTTCTGACTAAATAGTGTATTGTTAAAAGCCAATTTTATTGATGTTTATACTCTTTTGATATTTATTGTTATAGAACAATATTTGTTGATTGTAAATAAAGGTCCAAAATTTTGGGACACCCTCTGGATTTAATTCATAAGTTTCATGCTTTTTGTTTTAATTAACTCCTACTAAAGTAGGACACTGAAACTATTTTACCCATGGTACATGGTGTTCAATTTCTTTGAGAGGGTTTTTTTCCTAAAATTTGCCAGCCTTAAACTTACCATTAAGCCAGCAAGGTAGATTAAGCAAAAAGAGCTGAAATTTTATGCAGTAATGGATTAATTTTTTTATTATTATTATTACTGAATACCTTCAAGAAAAGAAAATAGCTCTGATCTAAGTGATCTAGTAGCTTTGTTTTGAAAAAAGTACACAACCTTCAATTTTTAGGCAATTCAAAACCAGAGGGTTGTCCCAAACTTTTGGCATGCAGTTTATATTAACTCTCACTTTAATGCCACCTAATATATCTCTGTTGCATGTGTGCATACCTCCATCAGTCAGACCTTACAACAATCAAGACACTGGAGATAAGTTCTGTGCACCAACAGGTTTATTGAATGCTAAAAGGGTGAAACTAGAAAAAAGAAATAAATACAAACAGTGATGCTATCATTTGGGTGTAGAATTTAAAGGATAGAAAAACTAAGAACCACACACATTAAACTTGTTGCTTATTTTGCCAGTTCTGTTTCTTTCTAAAGGCTACTGAGGAAGTGGTCAGAGAAATGAAACAATAGAAGTCCTGTACTGTAGTAACTGAACACTCAAACTTAAACTTCACTTTATTTTAAAAATGAATATTTTTAATAAACTCTAGGAAAAATGGACAAATCTCAAATATACTCCAAAAATCAATTGGGTTATTTTTTGATTCACTGCATTCCTAAAATACCATTATTTGGTTTAGTAGGGATAGCAGGACAGGGAAGCATTAGGTGAACAGAAAATAAGGCTGATCTTGTCTGAGTTTAAAGTGAATGTAAAACCCTTGGGAATGTGGTGCTCAAGTTATCATGCCTACAAAATTTGGTACACCATTACCAAATGAATTAGATAACAGGGTGAATCCTATTGATTTGGAAAATTTGCTACATTTCTTGTCATGCATGTATTTTAGCTGCTATTTTAATTCATGCACTTCTTTATAGCTGATTGATATATTTTTTTAAATTTTTTATCGATTTTATATTTTTTCATACATATAGGCATTTTCAGCTTATAAAACTTATACCATCTGAAAAATTTTCTCTATTTTTTTGATACATATTTTTATTTATTTTGATAAAATTTATTTTTTAATTTTTTTTATTCAACATAATATATATTAATATATTTATACTATTGGATATAATAAAATCTTAAAATATAATGTTGAAGCTGGTATTAGTTTGCCTATTAACCTAAGCCTTACCAAAGTTACTGATATTATAACTATTCATTTTTTTATAAAATATAAATTGATATCATACATAGCAATTTCCCATACCAGTGGGTTATTTTTTGAGGATATAGTTTGCAATCATTGTCCATACTAGTATGTTACTTTTTATTTCTTACACCAATTAAAAAACAAAATATCATATTTTATGGTTTTGTGGTTCAATTCCAACTTCCTCACAGTCATTTTAAAATCTGGTGGCAATACTAATGAGATTTTACTATGGCCATTTCCAAAAAGTTATTGTTTTTTTTTTAACTAATATAAGAAATAGAATATCATTAACTCCTAATTAAAATATTCTTTAGAATACCTTCTAAACCAACTTTCAGGAATTTGTTGCTACAGAAATTGAAAAATATAAACTGATTGCATTGATTCTATACTGCATGGCAATTACTACTACATTCACCCTCACTTTATAAGTCTAAGCTTTGGGGGTACAAATAGTCCATAATGACTGCCTGACTGCTACAGTCTCAGGATCTGTGACATGCCAGTCCAGCATTTCCAATTCATGTGTCTTCTTCATTTTTTACCAGCATCCAAGTGATATCTCAGTTTGGCTCCAGTTATAGATTAACCTCGTAAATTCCCTTTTATGGGTTCCAGTTTGTCTGGTAAGGGTGCCAGATCCCTAAGAGAAACCATCTTCCTTTCCAGTGGGTTTTCATATATAAGTATATTTCAGGTTGGCTTGTAGTAATTCTACCTTCACAACTGAAGGTTTATATTTGCTCTCTCTAACTATGTTTCTGTAAGAGTACCTTCTTTGAGTTGATTAACCAGCTAGGCATGGAAGATCCTGTACCCAATTTACACTGGTAGTTAAAACCTTCTCATGTCGGGAGCAGTTGGTGGCACTACATAGTAGGGGTCATATGGAATATAAGGCATCAGTTTAGCACTACCTCCCACATATATGGGTGCAATTGTTTTGACTTAAAAGCTAATTCTACTGAACTCTAAAGTGTTCCATTTAGCCTTTCTATCTGTCTGTTTCCCACCATGTAGTAACTAGTTGTCTGGCTGGTAGCAATTCCTTTTGAGTGTAGGAATTCTTTCAACTAATTTGAGGTCCTCTATCAGAATGTGTGGTATGTCAATTACTAAAGATTGTTGATAGAAACACTTAATCACCATGGCTGAAGAGATATATCTCTGCATGTGAATGTGAAACCTGTTGAACTCATCAATGACTATTAGAATTGTACTGATTTTTCTTTATGAACATCAGGAGTGGGCCTTTCAAAAGGATGGCTTGCTTTGATCAGTTTTTCCTTAACCTTGGTTTTTTCACATGCCTTGACTGGTATTTTTATGAATGCCCTCTTCCAAGTCAGATAGGTTTTTGGTGCTCACTTTATAGCCATACATGTGACTCCTGGATGATAGAAGGACTTATCTTGGGGGGATGATTTTATAATGGCTCTGTACCTCAGAAATAAATACAAGGTACTAAAAAGAGAAAATGAAAAGAAGGGTGCCAAAATACTTCATACCATTTTTTATTACATGCAACAATGCAAAACAATACAACATGACATAAATGTAAACATAGTACTTACAATAGATGTGGTTTGTACTCAGTAAGTTTACTAACTTTGAGCTAAGGTGAGGTAAGGTCATCAACTACCAATATATATCTTTGTTCTCCATGGTGTAAGTTGAGACACCAGTTGCAACATGTGTACTTCCCATGACTGAACTGACTCTGATTGTGTCAAGGACCCAAATTCATCTCATTTGTCTTTATTGTTTCAAGATGCAGAGTTCTATCTAAAACGCTATATCATGAATCTTCTGTAGAATATCCATAGTGATAGCTGTACATTTTGATTTTGTGAATGTGTCTGGAGCTGTATTCTGAGCCTGGAGTCTGTAACATATTTCATAATTTTATGTTGTGTGCTCAACTCATAACCTGTTCAGCTTATCATTCTTGATTTGAATGGCTTGCTTCCTGTAGTTGAATGGTAATGTTTGTTGGTCAGTTATCAGTGTAAAAGACTTCCATATTAGACAGTAGCACCACTTTCTCAAGGCTTCCACAATAGCTGCAACTTCTTTTTCTACAGGGAAATGATTTTGTTCTGATACATTTAGTGTTCAAGACCAAAATGCTACTGGGCACCTCTCTCAATTTAAGGTAGCAGCTATACACTGATTGCTTGCATCCATCTATCTAAAAATGTTTATCCTCATCAATAGTACTGACCAAAGCAATACAGACTTCTCCTAATTGAAAGTGAACACATACTTGTTCACTACCTCTCTGTCTTCTAAGGTTCCTTTTTATATCTACCACAAATGATAATGTGCTATATAAATATATAAATAAACACATTTTTAAACCCTCTAACTCTACGTTCTTGTCCATTATCCTCTGGAATCATTTTATATCCTTAGTGATTGCACTTAAATTGGTAGAGTCAGCCCCTATGCTTCAAATGCTGTAAAGGGCCTTATCTTCTGGACATGGTTATAGGCACTTTTAGGTTCAAGGCACTTTAGACAGTATACGTCGATATAGCCCAAACCATATTGT